AAAATGCTTTAATTATTTGTAATAAAGATGTGCTTCTGTTATAGTAAATACAGTATTTCTTAGTTGTACTTCATGGCTCCAATACATTCAGCACACGCGAGTTCTTTCTAAGTTTTCTTTGATTAAAGTTTGCAGATTATATAATTTGTGTAAAAATAGATAAAACACGACATGATATAAAAAAGTTGGCGTAGAAAGGTTAAATATTTATGTTTTGCTCTTTCTAGAATCCTGTTGGCTTAAATGTGGTTAATGTTAGTCCAAATAATGAGTGCATATTCTAGTAAGGTCGGTTAGTTTTTTCGAGTTGGTTGGCTGGTTGAGTTGATCGGTTGGTTGTCGGGTTGGTTGATTTGGTTAGTTGGCTGGTTTGGTTGGTTGGTTGACTGACTTGATTGGTTGGCTGGCTGTGTCTATTTTGGTCAATGAAATTTGGTAAGAAATTATCAAACAACACACGTTATCTCGTAATTTTAATATATGTGGAATTTAGTTTTCTGACAAAAATAGAATCTCATAAAGATAACGCGATACTGTATGGTAATACATACCAATTTTTAGTTACAATATTATGTGTATTTTCCAGTAATGATTGCCGTAATTATTCCCTTTCACTGTTCCATATATTAATCACGATAAGAATGTGGTAACAAGTGATGTCAAATGTGCCATGGAACTCTTCAAGTTGCAATGACTCCAATAACCACCATACCGATGGGGGGGGGGGGTCTTACTCTTTGTGGTTGGCGGCTCATCTAAATCTGGGTTTAATAATTGTTTCAACAAAAAACAGGTAATTCAAATTGAATTACGAAATGAAGTACGAAGCTTGATGGCCACATTTTGGTAGGTGGAAAACAAGACTTGTAATATGGACGCACAGACAAGGATTTGAATACTTTACGCTCCCCAATGGAATTTGACAATCATCGTGCTCGACAGAACAATATCGATCACTATCTATCTACCGCTTATAGACAGTCAGTCTAACAACTTTAAATAATGTTCCAGTGAACGAGTAGATATACAGTTTGTGACAGCCTACGCATGAATGCGATGTGACTGAAAGTTCGTATTCAGCGTGGGAGATTCCAATATCGGAGAGATTTAGGTGTGTTACACTGAGAGAGTGATGTTCTTCTTGACATGCACTGTAATCCAAAACCAACAATCGACAATTTGCTTAATACAAATCATTAACAGAAAATGAAAAGCACTGATACATTCCAATCGTCCCGTTATTCATTGTTTACATTTACACAAAAACTATTATTAGTGATTTATTTATTTTAATGTGAGTTCTGCTCGTAGGCCAAGGTTAGACGAACAAACACCAAGCATAAAACAACTTTCATTCAAATCTTAACTAAGTTCATTGCTGCCAAAATTTGACGACAATACGGTTTGATTTTATATGGAAAGAATCAACTCTTCACAATACATACCAATTGAATTGAACGCTTATTTATACTGTTTATAGTAAAAATTTACCCTTACTCTACGTTTTGGTTTCTTATTGTTCAGAGAGTTGCTTTAGAATATATCGGTAGATGAAGGCGTGTTTTTAAGCCGCCGGATCTAATTGTCGTGATTACCCCCGGGGCTTATCTTGTCTAACATTGATTGATTAACATAGGGCCGCGTCTATAATTATAGGGCTCACTCAAGTCAAGTTCAGCTCAGGTTAGGTCAGGTCAGGAGAGGTTTATTTGACTTTGAAAAAAAGTTAAAAAAATTATAAATAATAAACTTTGTAAGGTCATGTAGATTGTAAAGAAAACAATTACTTGTCATAGTAAACTAATGCCAAGTTTGTAATATGGACGCTCGAGGAACATTATTTCTTGAGAATTTGTAATTAGATTAGATTTGTAATTTAGCTTAACCATAAATGCATTCTGATTGCTGTAAATATTTTCATTTCATGTCTCACTCTCCACCCTACCTTAAATTACGACTTCCGTTGCGTTTGTTATGCTGTCTGACATCTGTACTGATAAGGTACATATTTTAAGGCCAAAAATTGTAACAACGCTTCTGCAAACATAAGGAAGGGCAGTTGTTAAAATATGTGGTATTTCACCAACATCGGAGACGCCATCAGTTCAATCTAGGTATATTGTTACCACCGAACAATGTCCATTGTGTTATGAGAAAACGGAATTTGGTTAAATTGACTTCATGCAAAATGTTATTGTTCCGACCTCAATGGTACACTTCGCATTATTCAAGCGAGTAAAAAAGCATTTTAAGATTTCTTTTCCATCGCGGCTGGCATACCACCTGGAACAATAGTGGTGTTAGCCTCTTGGGCATTTTGATTCATAATCACCAATGATAGCGTGAGAAATCAGTTTTTTTTTACAATGATCAATCTACAGGAAATGTTCTTAACTAACATTGCATGATATTCAGTGTTATCGTATTATTAACGGGTGAAAGATAGAACAGTGGTAGTACGACTAGTGTATAAACACCGTGTATAATAATAACTTTGGTACACGCGTAATTTGGTAACCTCATCAAAACAAATTAACGTATGGCGAGGATGTAGCCACTGGATCTTGAGATGCCTCTAAGCATTGTTCCAACTCCATGAGTTGTAGTCCATGTTCCCACAGCTTATAAACTACCGAGTCATTACAGCTCTGCAAGCGACCACATCTGCTTAAATTGGCAATAATTAACGACTCACTGTGACAGTTTGATTGAATATACTTCAAATCAAAACCTAAACATAATCAAAATAATCATTGTCAGGACAATATAATCATGAGTTCGTAAGCTGACACTGTCGGCAAAATTATTTTACGTAGATCACGCGCGAAACGAAAAAGGACGCCGGGTCCCAGTGAACGGGTGTAGTAATCACAGTTAGAACAACATGACAACCATGCATAGCAGTATTTTACCTCGTAATAACAGTTTTATTTATTAATTTATTCAAAGGTCACAAGTTCATAGAAACGTTCATACATAATATATGAATCAATGGGTTACCCACTGAATAATAGAATGTATTATAATTAAACAGTAACGTATTCATAATATACATTAAATAATAAAACACCGGGATGAATTACTACATTATTAATACAGTGCACTTAAATGTATTTTATCACCTATCTTAATTGCGCAATATAACTACCCATTCGTGGGCCGTGATGTTCGTAATGGGCGAATGTATAATTTTAGTTAGATTTAGGAGGTTAATGAATGCATTTTGCTAATGACGTGGTATGCAAATCAGTCGAAAATAGTGTACGTCATCGGGTTTGCTCGGAAAAACGAAACAATGGATGTAAAAAAAAAGACTTAATTGCGAGCAAAGTAGACGCTCACCGTGGGGTATAAAATTTGACCTCCAAGGTCAGGGAGAGTTTTGTTTGTGTAGGAATTCAAGGTGAAGTAATAACGAACTGGCGGGTGTTTAATAAATGTAATTGTGATGAAAAGCCAGTCTTAAAGTCGAGACCAGACAATTACTGCTACAACAATCAAAGGGATGAGTTTAACCCATTTTCAGTTCATTCGGAACACGGTTTAATTCATGAGGTTATCCGAGATGAATAAAGCTGCTGTTCCATTAATGATAGGACCTCTCCCTTGGGACATAACTACGGGATTTCCATCGTAAAAAAATTACACTACACACGGCTGCTATACCTATTTGCATACAATCAGGGCGTCGACAATGCGTCATGTCGCAGTGATAGAGGAACTGTGGTCATAGTGTACATATGTTTGGCGATCGACAATTCCATGTCAAATTGTCATAAATTGTTCTTCAATTCCATGATCTGCAAAAAAAATATTACAATTACAATTAACGACACCAGGCCAAACGTCAAATTGAGCGGTTCGTCGATAACACCATGACCCAGGGCTGAGTCAAGCAGCATTATTGGAATTCACCCTGGCTGTCACTCAGGCATGTTCATTATGCTTAATAAAGCCTAAATTGGAGAGGTTTAAAAACTCCAATAACATGTCCCAGTAGAACATTAAATTACATTATATGACGTATGCCGTCATGCACTCAGTTATAGTAGGTCCACTATAAAAATGAAAGCGTGCTAACATAACCTGCAGTTACATCACGTACAATGAATTACTAATGAAAAATAAAGAACAATTGAAAAATAAATTAACAGATATTTCCTCTACGCGACCGTAAATAGACCTCGCATCTAAATTACTACTGTACGCATTTTAAAATTACTATTCTTGAACGAGGTTGATTAAAATGTCCCATTTGCAATTTCGGGGTCAACCTAATACATCTACGAGTTCGACGTCATGCATGTATTAATCCCGCCGAGGCCTTTAATCCCAATATAGATACATGTGCCACAGCTGGGAGCACAAAGACTGGATAAATACAAACGTTCAAATATTATCTTTGTTAAAAAAAAATCACAATAGCACCCACCCGCCTATATACTATATAAGTTGGGTTTATATTTTATTGCAAAATTTAATTTCAGAGGAAACGAATTTTTGCATTTGCTGTGAAATAACGTTAGTTAAAATATCTGCTCCTATTTATTGTATTTATGTATTCAAACATTCGTGCATATTTTATTCATTATATAGCCACTTTATGAAACACAATGTTTGCTTTTCTAGTCAAGTACATGTTATAACATGCGACGCGCACTATATTGTTACAGTAGGAAACATACGTCCTTTTTTAGTTACGTTCTAAATTATCAACGACGTGCTTGAATTTTTAATTACATTTTGAAGCCATAAAACACTGTTAATGGCCTTATCACAATCCGTTCAGTAATTATCATAGACGTCAGTGTCAAGAGGCTCTTATTATGAAACAAACTGTTAAAACTAACGAAGCTAGGTATAACAAAATAATAATTTAGAAGTGTGTCCATCTTTCATTATATTTAGAATGTCCATCGTTAGATACTCCGGGAACATTACATCGAATGACCTCAATCATGTCATACACCTAGATGTTGAGAAACATCGATAATTCAAGTCTAATTATTCGATGTTCTCGTTGTCATGCTCATATGATTGAGATCAGCGTATTTGCGATATCTGGCGATGCTCTGCAGCCAGCAGTGAAAGTTAATACGGTGATTCTCGGCGAACCAGTCACTGGCGTAAGCCGTTGCAATCAGCATGTGTACATCGTGCTCGTAGTCATCTCCACAACGAGCGTAATTCTCATAACACCGCTTGATGCAGTTAAAAATGCGATTTCTATCCACAACTTCAGGTTTATCTAATAAATTACGGGCAATTAAAAAAGATAATTGCGCGATGCTTTCAGGAGCGTATCCGTAGGTATACTCGGGATCGAAATCGTGCATCTGAGAACTCAATACTTCACACTCGTCTCTCTTCTCATCTAAATCGGCTTTTACTTTGGAGAGCTCTCTTTCCAGTTTCCTATTCTTGGTCTCCGTCGCTTCAAGATCTCTCTTCATTCTTTTTAACTGCAGCTCAAGAGATGCGATTTTACAGAATAGCTCCTGGTAGTCAATCGATCTGAAGCTAGCCACACCGTCCGAACTCATTGCAGAAGCAGTATGCACGGCTGCTGCAGCAGTAATTTCTGGGCATTGTATTTGATGTGCAGCAAGTTGGTATCGATTGAGACCCATCCCACATCCAATGCACTCGACTGGGGCATATCCACATGATTCCAGGTGAGCGCTGAGGCTTTCCATTCGCACTACCATCTTACAGCCTCGTTCTTTGTGATCACACTCGATATCCAGGCTATTGACTATAGCACGAAGCGACCATACAGGACTGACCTGATATTTACTAATCCGGCCACGACAGCACGGACATGTATCGGTATTCGGACGGGTTAGCCATGTATCCAAACATAGTTCACAAAATGTATGTCCACATCGCGTTAACACGGCATCTTCAACAACGCAGCTACAAATACCACACAGCAAATTTTGATCCGGTGTTGTCACAAACCTCTGCACTCCGTAGCCCATCTTGGTTCGACGTGTAGCGAGATATAAACGCTGTGGACGGGGATTTCAATGAACCGAACAATTTCAATGAGTATAGTACCGCGGTGCCCTGCCAATCACAAAGGCGAAGCGAACTCACAATTTAAATGTCGCGAACAGCTGTAAATATGTATACAGGTCATTCAGTAGTTTTTACAGAAAGACCAGTAGAACGTGAAAAATAAAGGCTTTTCAATGTATTGGTCGGACTTCCCCCATGTGGGCTGAGCGCATGCGCAGATGAGAAATATGAAAAGATCCTGGTAGCTGGTTTGACACGTCACATTGTTATAAAAATTCTATTTATATCTATAATACGCCAACAGCAGTGACGCGAAGGACAAGTTACATTTATTCAAATAAACAATAATATTGCGAGTAACCGATTCAATAGTAGTCATGACAGTGAGACATGTGTACACCGAGAGTTCATTAAATGACCGGCGAATATTAGACGCCATGAAATATACAATTGAATGGATAATATAATTAGTGGCCATTGAAAGCAGGCCATTAACGGGTCATTAGAATAACCCGTACACTTTCTCAATATGTAAATTATCACCAAATTTACATTTACATAAACGCAGCAACGAAACAATTAAAAATATTTTTTCGCGGAAAAAACAATCTGGTGTGCATGTTATGTTTCAACAGATTTCATCAATAGAATGGTTTTAAATAAATAATGATGTAATCCGAGATGCAGTGTTTCGTGGATATTAATAAAAGTCAGGATATTAATAAAAAAGTGGCACTATATGTACCGGTAACAATCGAACTATTATCGACATGGGAATATTGTATTGCTTACTCTATCCTAGACTATTCTTACCAAATATATAATAACAATATTCAAAACAAAAAATCTATGTTACCTATACATGTAGTAATTATCGTGCTCGGATATACTAGTAAAATCGTAGTTTTTTTCATTATCTATTGGCAGTGTCAACTCTTTCATATATACTAGTATATCAGCATTTTAAATCTAGCTACTATGGATAGAAATATCCATTAACGGAAAATGTGGCTAACACGCTAGACTGCATACAACACTGTAACGAATCGACCTAGAATAAATGCCATCAGCGGGTGGCCTGTGCACTACTCCATCAGTCGATGCGATCAATAACCTCACTCGTTGACGTGGTAAATTCATCATTTTCTTTAAATACATTATCATTACACTATTTACAACAGAACAGCGCAACTCGAGCGTCACTTTAAAAACAAAACATTCAAAGTGCTTCTCTTTGTGTTCTTTGTTTTTAATTTACAATTGAAATCTCTATTGCGAAAATAGCCTTAACCATTATTTAATACCAAGTATATGAAATAATCGAAATCAGTGTGCTTTCGTCGAAAACAATCTAAAACAATCTAACGAAACGATGCGATAAAGTTTAATATCACATCTTTAATATACTTCTATTTCTAAGAGTGAAATTACTGAAGTGGTAGACACCTGGCGATGAAACGAACAATGTATTAATATTCATTGTCAGTGATCAGAACAAACTGAACAAATGTATAATAATGTCAGTCCAAGTTTAGTAATTCACATCGTAGATACACCGTATACTGTACTTGCATTCACTGGCAACATTTAAATGTAATAAAATAAATAATTACTGTTTTCAGAGATACACATTTTGATATGATTATGTTATACAACATATATAAGTTAAAATATTCGAATATTTATATTGTGTCACTATAATTGTTAATTTAATAATTTTCTAATGTCTCACTAAAAATTGTCGCTTTGAATCCCTCCTTCCAGTGAAGTCGCACTAAATTACAGGCCTGACTCGAACTAGGAAATGAATTAAAACTTCGTGTTACAAATGAGCATTTTACCCATAACCATACATCACTCAAACGGAGAAACTTGTCATTTGCTAGCTTCCGCAAGTCATAAATTATAAATACCGTGCACAAAAATTACTCGATGAAAGGACACAGGAACCTAATGACGTCACCACTCGGTATTAAACGTCATTTTCACCTGTCTGCTAATGACCCGGAGGTCAAAGAGCGACAAAGTTGGTGACATGTCGAATGACAAAAGGTGAAACTGAAAGGCTAATTTATTGGTGGACGGGTTATACCCAATATGGTTTGAGATTGCATTGAGTTTGTTGCGGGTATATGCATATGCATGTGTGGATAATATCTGCAACATATGTGTTTCAGAATCTTTACATTCATACATAGGTTTACCTTGTCGTGATGAAAATATCGCGATTTTCACTACCGATCTGCAACACAATATTTCACAAGAGATGTCATCATAATGATTTCATTAAAATAGTTTTTATTTACAGCGAACATGGTATCATGATGCGGTGTATTGGTTTCAGTCCAAAAATGTGACCGTGGGTTACCCCCCCCCCCCTCCACACACACACACACACTAATCACGAAAACGTTATACAGCTACCTTTAATACAGGTGCATCTGATGACGTTGGTAAAATCTGGTATTGAGTTCTCTGTTACCGTAATTTGATGATAATTGGTCGTTGCTAGTGCACACGAACACCTGGAATTCTTCAAATGTATCTTTTCAAATATAATTATGTAGTTATGTAATGAAGTGACTTTTATCAACTACAAATGTAATACGCCCCACTCACAAATGCAATAAACGCATCTACCTACAAATGTAATTACCATCAACTACAATGTTATACAACTTTCCGTTGTTGGACACGATGTAATTTCCGTGTTCAATAATTGGTCTGTTCATATGTTCTCCGATATTAGCCAGATGTATCAAAGTGGACATTCTTAAAATCCACTACACGAGTCATACTGGGATTTGTCAATAATACACACATATACATCAATTATACGTCACATGCCTCTGACGTTTTTATGAAAATACTCCTACTAAGTATGTCATTAATCTCCTTCAATTGATTCATTGTCAGTGGTTCAACTAAAAGGTGATATAATGAACACCATGATTATTTAGTTAATTTTTGTCTCCGTGTTTATTTTACTAATTTAACTGTTTCATTTTAAATATTGATCATACATTTTGGGCTAGAAAATAATTATTATGGTTACAAATTATATTTACAAATTTCATTTACAGAAGATGATAGCAGAAATGACATTGGTTTGTTCAATTCATGGAGATTTAGTATTTTATATACATGTATTAGCTCACACAACAGTTCCTCTACATATATATTGGGACTAGTCTAAATAGGGAGTAAAAAGCCTTCTCTACATTTATATTCATAATCTGGGACAAATAACAAGTTAGAAAACAAATGCAAATTGAACGCTGCCTGTAACCACGCATGGACTATGCGACGAGAAGACATTTGCGTGCTGCAGCAAGAGTCGTCAAATAAAAACGCCCGCTATAGGCGATAACGTGCTTATCAACATTACCTCGCGAGGGTACACTCACCATGCACCAGCACCATGAAAATGACAGTTCGTTGTTTAAAATACAATACCCTAATTCGTGACGCAAATTAGAAATCGCTGTTGAACTGTTAAGACGTGTTCTTCATTTCATTCATATTTTAGTAAACAGTAACCACGGTTTTATACAGAATAACTCACTATACTCCACAACGCCTAGAATATATTCAGTGTTCCACTCATTATACTTCACTAACACCTAGAATCTATGCAGTTTTCCACTCATTAAGCTTCACTCACACCTAGAATCTATGCAGTGTTCCATATATTATACACAAGTGCCTAGAATCTATGTGGTGTTCCATTCATTATACACAAGTGCCTAGAATCTATGTGGTGTTCCATTCATTATACACAAGTGCCTAGAATCTATGCAGTGTTCCATTCATTATACACAAGTGCCTAGAATCTATGTGGTGTTCCATTCATTATACACAAGTGCCTAGAATCTATGCAGTGTTCCATTCATTATACACAAGTGCCTAGAATCTATGCGGTGTTCCATTCATTATACATAAGTGCCTAGAATCTATGCAGTGTTCCATATATTATACATAAGTGCCTAGAATCTATGCAG